TGTCTCTGCTAAAAATATAAAAATTAGCTGGGCTTGGTGGCACATGCCTATCCTAGCTACTCAGGAGGCTGAGGCACAAGAATCACTTGAACCTGAGAGGCAGAGGTTGCAGTAAGCTGAGATGGTGCCACTGCACTCCAGCCTGGGGGACAGAATGAGACTCTGGCTCAATAAATAAATAAATAAATAAGAAAATCAATGACATTGAAACAAAACCAAAGAAAATATATCAAACCTGCTCAATAAATAAATAAATAAATAAATAAGAAAATCAATGACGTTGAAAACAAAACCAGAGAAAATATATCAAACCTAAAGTTAATTCATTGCAAAAATCAATAAAATTGATAAACCTATAGCAAGGCTGACAAAGAAAAGATGTAAATCACCAATATCAAGAATTAAAGAAGGAATATTACTATAGACCCAATACACATTAAAAGGCTGACAAGGGAATACTACAAATAACTCTACACACAGAAATTCTACAATTTAGACAAAATAGACTAATTCCATAAAAACCACAAATTACCAAAATTCATGTAAGATAAAATAGATAGCCTGAATAATTGATAACTATAAAGAAATTGAATTCATATTTAGAAGCCTGAAGAAAACCAAATCTCTAGTCTTGATGCCTTTGCTGGTGAATTCTACTAAATACTTGTAGAGGTAACAACCAATTCTACTTAATCTCTTAAATAAAATAGAAGGGTAAGGAATACTTCCCAACGCATTTTATGAAGCTAATATTATTCTGATACAAAAATCAAAGAGTACAGCAAAAACTACAGACCAATTCCTCTCGGGAACAGACACAAAAATCTGTAGCAAATATTAGCACAATAAAATTCTGCAACATATAAAAGAACAATACAGCACAACCAAGCGGGATTTATTCCAGGTATGAAACACTAGTTCAACATTTAAAAATCAATTAATATAACTGACCATATTAACAATAAAAAAGAGCAACACGCCAGGTGGGGTGGCTCACACCTGTAATTCCAGCACTTTGGGAGGCTGAGATGTGGGGACTGTTTGAGCCCAGGAGTTTGAGACAAGTCTGGGCAACACAGTTAAGACCCTATCTCTACAGAAAAACTTAAAATTAGCCAGGGATCGTGGTATGCACCTGAGAAGGCTGAAATGGGATGATTGTTTCAGCCTGGGAGGTAGAGGCTGCAGTAAGCCATGATTGCACCACTGCACTTCAGCCTGGGATGCAGAGCAACAGTCTGTCTCAACAAACAAACAAACAAATGAAAACTAAAAACAAAACAAATACCAAACATAAGCATGTTGACTGATACAAACAAAGCATTTAACAATATCCATATCCATTATGATTTAAAACTTTTGGCAAACTAAGAATGAAAGAGAAATTACTTTACGCAACAGCCATAAAAGCCTATAGCTCACATGGTACTTAATGGTGAAAGACTAAGCACTTTCCCTGTAAAATTGGAAACACAGTAAGCACATCCATTCTCACTACTCTTATTCAACATGGTGCTGAAAGTCTTATTCAGTGCAATTCGGCAAGAAAAGGAAATAAAAGGTATATAGAATGTTAAGGAAGAAATTAAACTGTCCCTATTGTCTATGTAGAATATCCCAGGAAATCTTTAAAAAGCTCCTGGAACTAATAAGTGAATTTAGAAAGGTCAAAAGACTACAAAGACAGCACAAAAAAAGTCATGTTTCTTTTTTTTTTTCTAGGTCTGACAAATATACATTATGCAAAATGCCAAGACGTCTCTGCAATAAACATTTTATTTTCTTTTTTTTTTAATTATACTTTAAGTTCTGGGTGCAGTCATGTTTCTATATACTAACAATGAACAAGCGGAAAGCAAAATTCAAAATGTAAAATGCTTTATCATTTTCAATCATTCCAAAAAATATTTTCAATGTTGATAAATCAAACAAAAACATGTACAAATCTATATGCTTAAAAGTATAAAACACTGATGAAAGAAATCAAAGGCCTAATAAAGGTGAGACATACTGGAACATTCAACATAGTAAAAACTTCACTTCTCCCCAAATTGATCTATACATTTAATACAATTCTTATCAAAATCTCCACAGCTTTTTTTTTTTTTTTTTTGGTAGACACAGATATGCCGATTTTAAAATTTATAAGGAAAGGCAAAAGAGGCCGGGTGCGGTGGCTCATGCCTGTAATCCTAGAAGTTTGGGAGGTTGAGGCAGGTGATCACTTGAAGTCAGGAGTTCGAGACTAGCCTGGCCAAGATGGTGAAACCCCATCTCTATTAAAAATAAAAAAATTAGCCAGTTGTGATGGTGGGCACCTGTAATATGAGCTACTCAGGAGGCTGAGGCAGGTGAATCACTTGAACCCAGGAGGCAGAGGTTGCAGTAAGCCAAGATCACACCATTGCACTTCAGCCTGGGTGACAAGAGCAAAACTCCATCTCAAAAAGTAAATAAGCAAATAAACAAAGCACTTATGTACACCCATACGCACACACATCCTTACTCTCTCCCACAATGAGTTCATGTACAGGTGGCAAAAACCAAATAAGGTCTGCAGTGGAGTCAATTATCATACTAAAGTTGATTTTCTGGTTTCAACAATGTACTACAGATGGTATCAACAATGAACTAGGTGAATAGTATATGAAAATTCTCTGTGTGTGTGTTTGGGTTTTTTGTCTTTTGGGGGGAACAGGGT